CCCCCCCCCGCGCTCGGCCTCTCTATCAAGCAGCTCAGTCAGTTTAACCCTTTCAGTGGTGCAGACAAATGGAAAGAAAATGCTTCCCGCTCTATCCATGAGGAGCTTCAGCTAGGGACGCCCTGTGCGGCTCAGTGGGGCTGCTGTGGAGTAACTCTGGGGTATCTAGTGCTGTTCAGCCACCTCGAAAATGGGGCGCTTGAGCAGAAACAAGAACCAACCTAGCAGTTCGAAAGCAAGAAATTGCAAGTAGATCAATAGGGACCACTTCGGTGGGAACGTAACACCGTTCAGTGCGCCTTGGTGTTTAGTCATCCCGGCCACATGACCACGGAAACGTCTTCGGACAGCGCTGGCTCTTCGGCTTTGAAACGGAGATGAGCACCGCTCGACTGGCTTTCGAGCAAGGGAACCTTTACCTTTTACAAAAGCTCACAGCCAAGCACATTCTGAAGCAGGGCTATCTATCATGATGCTCCTATTCAGTGGTGCTTACTCCCAGGAAAGTGGTTTTAGGGTTGCATTGAAAATCTGTGTTCCTGGAACATCTTCCCCGTTTCTCAAAACAAAATGACTGACAGATAGACCTCCTGGAGACTCTTGTCATTTCGGATTGGTCCGCTGTGGGAAGCAGCCAATGGAAACTGTCAGTTCAGGATGCTGGAGCTTCTATGGGACCAGGACTGAAGCTCAGTGTATAGTTCATAGCCCAATACACAACAGTTGCCATCTCCAGTTTGATTAATTCCTGGAGATCTGGGGACTTTCTCTTACCATTGGGGTATGCAAATGAATACTTTCAGGTTGGGGAGGGTCTTAAGGTCAGGCACCCCTTACTTCATTATGACTATTTCTAGACAAAAACTCAGTAAGTTATATAGAACTGCACCAGTATCTGTGGAGTTGGCAGGTGGACATTGTGGGACATGAATTCCCTAATCCCAATTGTCCTCCCCATCCCCAGATTCTCCCAGAAAGAATCAGGAAAGAGAAGTAAGATTCCCTCCTCCTGCTTTGACTCTCCCCCCCCCCCAATTCCTGGATCAAACCCTGGGCCAAGGCTTATTCCCCACCTCTGACTCCTTACAGCCCCACTTTAATTTCTTCGTTGAGATTGTGCCTTTATGGTGCAGACTGAAAAAAATCTCTTTTTTGCAATATAAAATAAGAGATTGGATTTATACCCCGCCCTTCACTACCCAAAGGAGTCTCAGAGCGGCTTACAAACTCCTTTCCCTCCCCCTCCCCACAACAGACACCCTGTGAGGTGGGTGGGGCTGAGAGAGCTCTGACAGAAACTGCTCTTTTTCAAGAACAGCTCTTATCAGAACTACGACTTGCCCAAGGTCATCCAGCCAGGTGCAAGTGGAGGAGTGGGGAATCAAACCTGGTTCTCCCAGATTAGAGTCCGTGCACTTAACCACTACACCAAACTGGCTCTATATAATGCTTTTGTTTAAATTTTATATACATAACAATAACCATATCCACATTAAAATTTGGAGATAACAATTAGCTTTCAAGTTTAACCTGGGACTTGTAATATAACCAGGACTTGTATCTTTCCCCCACGTTCTATCTCCATCTCGCTTTCCTCTCCACTAGAACTATCCCCATCTTCTCTTGCACTTTGTTGTTCTCCTGTCTTCAGTTTGCCAGGTGTCTGGGATTCCTTCCTTCTCTTACCTTTCTTCTGCTGTCTCACACTCCTTCTTTATGTCTTTCTCTGTGGTTCCCAGGTTTTTTCGTTTCCCTATGCTTTTTCTAACCCTTTGTTCTTTTGGTGCTGCTTCCTCTAGCACCTTTTCTGTCTCCATCTCCAATTCTAATTTTTCCTCTCCCCTCTGAAGTGGTATCTCAGGCATAGGTGTACATTATATGGGGGGCTCAGGGGCTTGGGCCTTCCTGAATTTTTCCAGGGGAGACTGCCAGGTTCCATCCTTTGCATCTCCTACCAAAAATGTCTCTGGTAATTTGTATTGCTAAAAATACTTTAAATTCATTCATCTATCCTCTATGACCATAGAATCATAGAATTGGAAGGGACCTCCAGGATCATCTAGTCCAACCACCTGCACAGTGCAGGAAATTCACAAATACCTTCCTCCCCACACCCCCAGTGACCACTGTTCCATGCCCAGAAGATGACAAAACCTCCAGGATCTCCAGCCAAACAAGCCTGGAGAAAAATTGCTTCCTGACCCCAAAATGGTGATCAGCATTTCCCTGGGCGTGTAAGAAAGGGCCACGAAAACTAAGCACTGAGGAAACCTTTCCTGCCCTCCCTTTCCTGCCTAAGTTCACAGAATCTGCATTGCTGTCAGATGACCATCTAGCCTCTGTTTGAAAGCCTCCAAAGAAAGGGAGCCCACCACCTCCCAAAGAAGCCTGTTCCACTGAGGAACCACTCTGTCAGGAAGCTCTTCCTAATGTTTAGCCGAAAACTATTCTGATTTAATTTCAGCCCGTTGGTTTCGGTCCGACCTTCTGGGGCAACAGAAAACATCTCTGTACCATCCTCTATATGACAGCCCTTCCAGTACTTGAAGATGGTTATCATATCACCTCTCAGTCGTCTCCTCTCCAGGCTAAACATACCCAGCTCCTTCAACTTTTCCTCACAGGACTTGGTCTCCAGATCCCTCACCATCTTCATTGCCCTCCCCTGGACACATTCCAGCTTGTCTATGTCCTTCTTAAATTGTGGTGCCCAAAACTGAACACAATACTCTAGGTAAGGTCTAACCAGAACAGAGTAAAGCGACAGCATACTTTGTGTGATCTGGAAACTATACGTCTCTTGATACAGCCCAAAATCGCATTTGCCTTTTTAGCTAATGCATCACACTGCTGACTCACGTTCAGTGTATGGTCCACTAAAACCCCTAGATCCTTTTCACACATACTACTGCCAAGTCTCCCCCATCCTATAATTATGCATTTGATTTTTCCCAGGGGTCATTTTGTAGAAAAAGAGGTGCAGGAGATCATTAGCATAACTCATTAGCATAACTTATTTGCATATGCCACCCCCCCTGCCATCACCGGAAGTGTGTCAGAAGGCAACACCCACCTTTCAGGCGCCACTGGACTGTTTTGGATTGCTAGCTATGGGGGGAGGGGAATGCGCAGATCTGCCCTCACAGAGGAGGGAGAGCTTGTACCTGAAGGCGGGCGAGGGGGGGAAAGGCTCTGCAACTTACCTGGCTGCCTCTTGCTCCTCATGGCCCGACTGAGGGCTGCTGGGAGCAGGGGGAGGGGCTTGTTGCATGTGCCCACCCCCTGGGCTTCTTACTGCCAGAGCTCCGCTCCTGTGCGCTCCTGCAGGAAATGACCCCTGATTTTTCCTACCTAAATGCAGAACTTTACATTCATCCCTGTTGAAATTACTGTACAGGAGAAAGTAAAAATTCTGTGGTCTGCTGTCTTGTCCACCACTCCCAGGTTTCCTACAGTTCTTTTCACACCTATGTCGCTTGGTAGGTTGTGAGCGTGTGTCTCCCAGTCTTCTGCAAAATTAGTTTGTCATACTACTACTTTCTCCTAGAGCACTGTCATTATGTTTTCCTCAACTAACGGAGGCCAGCTCCCAGACACTAGTGGGAAGCCTAGGCTATTTGGCCTTGCCCCACCATGGGACATCCCACGCCCTGTCCTTTGTTGCTCCTTTCCTGACACAGACCCCCATCATCGGGGAACGCTCTTCTGATTCTTCAGCCAGGTAATGTTTTCATGTTTTGCCCTGGCTGTTTTGCTGCACAGATTGCTCTGAAAACGGCACAAAGTTCATTTCTGGTCCATGCTGTCCGTCCTTTCTTTGGTCATGTCAGGCCAGCCTCACCGCTTTCATTATTATGGTGCCGATCTGCTTATTCTCACTCCCGCTGATGACGTCAATGGTTTTGATCACCTCCTTCCCGGCACTGTAGCGGCAGTCCCAAGTACTTCGGAGTGGCAAGCGTCACTCCTTCACGACCCACAATCCCACACCTCTAAGTGGAAAAGAGTCTCTACTGAAGCTATAAAAGGGTTTGCGCCCTGCTTGCTGTGCTGTTAACTGTAGTTCATCGAGCGGTCTTCTGTGCACGTACAAATCCCTCCCTCCTGCACCACTGTGAATTATCTCTGGAACCTTCCTTTGTTGGGGGCTGTGCCACTGTTCCCTCTAAGCTGAGTTAGTGTGAGCTAGCTCACAGTTTTTAAGCTTCCGGCTCACACATTTTTCTCTTCGCTCAGGAAGGATGGGGCTCCAGAGCAAACTGATTTATGCAGTAGTCAAGTCGCTCCCTCACAACTTTAATGCCAGTAGCTCACAAAGTAGAATTTTTGCTCACAAGACTACACAGCTTAGAGGGAACGTCTCTGCCGGCAGCGTGGGAAGAACTGGGGCAGTGGCTGCCTTGCTCACACGGAGGCCCCGCGTGTGCCTGCACAGAAGACTGCTCAGTGAACAACAACTATAGGCAAGTGCAACCCCGTTTTTTTGCTCTGCAAACACTCAGCAGAATTGAATGCTTTTCTTTAGCCACTTCAGTTTTATTATTTATTTATTGAATTAATTAACCGCCCTCCCCAGTAGGACCGGGCTCAGGGTGGTATACAACATAATCAGATAAAACGTCTCATAAAACCATTTTAAGATCAGGCTAAAACAGTAAAACATCACAACAGGGCTCTTTTTGTAGAAAAAGCCCAGCAGGAACTCCTTAGCATAATAGGCCACACCCAACAGCAGGAACTCATTCGCATATTTGGCCACACCCCTGACAGCACAGCTCATTAGCCCATGTTACCAGAAGTGTGCTCATCCAGCCACACCCACCTTTTGCTTCTTATTCTGTTTACCTTGATTGTTGTCAAAACCCAGGGCCTTTTTTGTAGCAGGAACTCCTTTGCATGTTAGGTTAGGCCACACACCCCTAATGTAGCCAATCCTAATGAGTTTCTGCTGTTGGGTGTGGCCTATTATGCGAATGAGTTCCTGCTGGGCGTGGCCAACTTGGGAGCCAGCTGGAACTCCGTTCCTGTTCGTTCCTGCCCAAAAATAGCCCTGAAACACAGCCAATCTGATCAATCCAGTAATCTAGTTAGCTATAGATGGCACTAAAATCCTAACAGCGCCGTTGTCTCAGGGGGAAGGGTGGGGGGGAGCAGAGGATGGCAGTGCCAAGACAGGACGGTTACTGTCCTCAACCAAACGCCTGGCGGAACATTTCTGCCTTCCACACCCTGCAGAACGGTGGTATATCCCCCAGGGTGCAGGTGTTACTCGGCAGAGAGATTCCACCAGGTTGGAGTCAGGGCAGAGAACAGCCGGACGTCTTGTTAGCTCGCAGGTGGGACCCAGCCTCTTGGGACTGTTATGCGGAAAGACTAACACCAAACAATTCTACGTGGACCAGTCCAGCCATTTCTGTAGTGACCCAGCAGCAATATGAAAAGGAAAGAGCTGCTCTAGTATCAATTTATTTTTCTGGCAGGCTCTGAGTGTTTTAAAAGGTTCCCTTGCTCGAAAGCCAGTCGAGTCCGACTCTAGGGTTGCGGTGCTCATCTCCGTTTCAAAGCCGAAGAGCCAGCGCTGTCCGAAGACGTTTCCGTGGCCATGTGGCCAGCATGACTAAACACCAAGGCGCACGGAACGCTGTGACCTTCCCACCGAAGTGGTACCTATTTATCTACTTGCAATTTCTTGCTTTCGAACTGCTAGGCTGGTAGGAGCCGGAACTAGAGACAGGAGCTCACTTCATCATGCGGCATACTCGGGTCTCAAACTGCTTAACTACTGACCTTCCACAGCCTGCAGTTCAGCGTCTTAACCACTTGAGCCACCGCAGCTCCTCTGAGTATTTTAGCAGCAGGTAAATTGCCAAATCCTTGTTGCCAAGTAATGTATAGTGGAGCAACAAAAAACACCCAGTTTCCTCAGCTTAATGGTATATTATTGAACACTGAACTTCAGGGCAGAATGCAGATTAACTTGGCTTGAATAGAAAGGAATACAGCAATACTTAGCTGGAGCTCTTTCTTGTCCAGTAGGTCCAGGATTGTCCTGGCCTGTTCTCAAACATTTTGTATGGGCCCAGCTATCCAGCCGCATACAGCAGGGAGGGAGGTGAACTGTGTCTCTCCTGCACTGAGGCCTTCTGGGTTAGCCTCTTAAAGATGTCGCACAAAACAATTGTTGTTAGGGGTGCCAGACTCCAGGCGGGTCCTGGAGATCCCCTGGAATTACAGCTCATTTCCAGACTACAGAGATCAGTTTCCCTGGAGAAAATGGATGTTCTGGAGGGTGGACTCTATGGCACTGTGCCCCACTGAGGTCCTCCGCACTGAGAGGGAGAGGACACTGGAAAGAGATCCTTGTCCAGTGCCTCATCTCACATTTGAGGCCTGAACAGAGACTCTTTTTCTTTAATAGTTTTTCCCCCCTCCTATAAATGGGATATTTTTACACCTCTCCTACACAAAAGAAGAACTCAGAAGCATTCTCATAACAACTGAAAAGCTGGTATTTTGGCACCCAACCAGCCCAGGGCTTTTCCATCGTGGCTCTGTGGACTGGGCTCCCTGAAGAGGTAAGGGGGGGTCCCTCCTTGACAATCTTCAGGAGGTGCTGAAAGGCCATCTTGTTTGCCAGGGCTTTTATGGGGGGTTGGATGGCAGGCATCTTTTAAGGGAGTGAGGGGGGAAGAGATGTCTGGTTAGCTATTTTAATTTTGGTTTTAACTGGGAACGTTTTAACTATTACTGTAAGCTGCCTTGAACTACAAAGAAGGGCCCTGACCATCGCCACCATGGAGCAGTGCACAGTGAGTGAGTCTCGTCAGCTCATGTTCCTCTGCGAGGGGACAGAATACCAGGGAGCCTGGTGCTGCAGCAGATGCCGAAAGGTTACGTCCTCCATGAGGGAGAAGAATTGGCCATCCACCGCAATCATCTCGCCCATGAGGTGACTGACTCCTTCCTGGGCCCTCCCTATAGCCCTTCTGGAGGACACTGTTGTCGTCCCTGGGGGAGTGACCTCTTGGAAGGTGGCCTGCCTTGACGTCCCACCCACGGCACCCCAGGTACAGGGAGCCTTTCTTGGAGGGGCCTCCTGCTCCCCCTCCATTTCTTCTGGCTGAGAGGGAGTGGGCCTCTTCTTCCTCCCGCCGGCCGCCACTCTTTTAACACGGTTGGGTGCACCCTTTGCAGGTGCCTGCGGAGGACAGTGGAGGACAAGTGTTGGCGGTTCGTGCCCCTCCGGACAAGGGTGTGGCACACCTGGCACTCTACCACACAGGGGTCGCTGGGGAGGGTGCGGAAGTGTTTCCAAATGGTGGGCTGGAAACGGGGCCCCAGGAACGGAGCAGGGGGGATATTTTCGTTTTCCCTGGAGTGGATTCTCTGGTGAGGCTGGAGGCCTGTGTTCGTTCTTTTCTTGATTGACCTTTCTTCTTGGACTGGGATTTCATTGAAGCCCCCTCCTTGGCAAGGAATGGGCTTATCCCTCCTCTTGTCTGCATGGCTTCCCTCCTGCCTTGGTGGTCCATCCCCATCTCCAAAGTGTCTTTCCGCATCTTCATTCTTGGCTATTTCCAAAGAGAACCCCTGGAATTCCCCAGCTCTCTCCTCTACATCTGCTGCTGGCATAAGGTAAGAGGTCCAATCAGCACCTATGCAAGAACATAAGAACATAAGAGATGCCAATGTTGGATCAGGCCAAAGGCCCATCCAGTCCAACACTCTGTCACACAGTGGCCAAAAATACCAGACTTCCTGTGGCAGTGAATTCCAAGTGTTAATCACTCTTTGGGTGAAGAAGTACTTCCTTTTATCCGTTCTAACCCGACCGCTCAGCAATTTCATGGAGTGCCCACGGGTTCTTGTATTGTGAGAAAGGGAGAAAAGTACCTCTTTCTCTACCTGCTCTTTCCCATGCATAATCTTATAAACCTCAATCATGTCACCCCTCAGTCATCATTTCTCCAAGCTAAAGAGCCCAAAGCGCTTTAACCTTTCCTCATAGGGAAAGTGTTCCAACCCTTTTATCATTCGAGTTGCCCTTTTCTGCACTTTTTCCAAAGCTATAATATTCTTTTTAAGGTGTGGTGACCAGAACTGCACACAGTATTCCAAATGACGTCGCACCATTGATTTATATAGGGGCATTATGATACTGGCTGATCTGTTTTCAATACCCTTCCTAAAAATCCCCAGCATAGCATTGGCCTTTTTTTTATTGCAGTCACACACTGTCTCGACATTTTCAGTGAGTTATGTACTACAACTCCAAGATCTCTCTCTTGGTCAGTCTCTGCCAGTTCAGACCCCATCAATGTGTATTTATATTTAGGATTTTTGGCTCCAATGTGCATCACCTTGCACTTGGCCACATTGAACCCCATTTGCCATGTTGACGCCCACTTGCCCATCTTTGACAGATCCCTTTGGAGTGCCTCACAATCCTCACTGGTTTTCACCACCCTGAACAACTTCATATCATCTGCAAATTTAGCCACTTCACTGCTTACTCCCAACTCCAAATCATTAATGAACGAGTTAAAAAGCAGTGGACCAAGTACTGATCCCTGTGGTACCCCACTGCTTACCACCCTCCACTGAGAAAATTGCCCATTTATACTCACTCTCTGTTTTCTATTAATTAGCCAGTTTTTGATCCATAAAAGGACTTGTAGGTCCTTTGATCCATAAAAGGACCTTTTATCCCATGATTTTTGACCTTACTTAGGAGCCTTTGATCAAAAGCTTTCTGGAAGTCAAGGTAAACAATATCTATTGGATCCCCCTTGTCCACATATTTGTTCACCCCCTCAAAGAACACTAACAGGTTAGTGAGACAAGATCTTCCCTTACAGAAGTCAAGCCACCAATCAGATACTGCTCATGAATGGCTGTGCAATTCCTTTATCAGAACCTCCTTCCCCACAGACTTAGTAGCTGGTCACACCTTGCCCCAGCCAGGCCCTCCAGTAGAGCTGTTTATATATTCTGCCTATCCCTCCCCTCCCCACTCCCCTCTGTATGTGCTTTAAGGGGGAAAGTGGCAAAGAATCGTTCTCCTGCTGTTCTCATTTGACTTGCTGTACACCTCTTTGGATTCTCTGCTCTTGATGATTAAATACAAGAAGTCACCATGGTATTCAGTCCTGCAGCTGTGCAGAGAGTGTCCTTCTAGTTGTGATGAGAGCCATGAGGAGCCACTTTGCAGTGCAAACATGTTTGCTGGGGATGGGAGGGAAAAACCAGGAACTAACCAAGTGCACCCTAAAGTTCAAAGAGGACCCCCATGGTTTTTGGAAAAGGTGCCCGTTTTGGGGGATGCTGTGAAGACCTGAAGGCATCTAGGCGAAGGCTGTAGAAAGGGTTGGTGGGACTTTGGCCTCGTCCCGCTTGGCTGCTCTACAGCAACCCACCACCTTTTCCTGGAATATCCAGCATTTAAAGACCCCTCAGCCCCTTAAGAGCTGCAGCTGAACTCAGCCCCAGGAGGTCCTTCAGAGCCTCCCAGATCTGAGGCCCCAGAAGGCCTCCCTCCCTCTTTTCCCAGCAGGCTTTATAATTCTACCAAAGCCAAAATTGCAAAGAAGTGATGCCGGAATCCTCCATGCCTATTCCTTGTCTGTTCCCTGGACAGAACTGTGAAGGATACTCACTCGCAGCCAGCTCACATGGGAAGGAAATGCTTTCTGGAGATCCTCTCGAGAAATTCTCCGGCCTTTCTTCGGACACGAAGGTTTTGTTGGTCCCTGCTGTAGTCTCTTTTACATTCCTTGGTCCTTTGGCAGAGAGAAAGGCAAAGTGATCATTTTCTATGGGGAAGGAAAGAATTCCAAGGAAGAGGGATTTTTTTTCCTGGAAGGAGGGATTTTTTTCCTGGAAGAGCAAAGCCCTCAGTCCAAACCAGTATAAGGGGGATGGATCCTTTCCAGATCACAGTCACGAGCGGATGAGAGTAATCCCATCTGTGGGAAGGGCATGTTGTAAAGACTGGCAACTGAGAAATTAGGTTCTGGCCCCTTCCAGAATCTTTCTCAGCCTTACCTTGGCCTCAGGCTTGGGTGATGGCCACAATACTGGCCTTAGTTGCCCCTGGGCCAGCCAGGCGCCTTGGGTCACTCTACCCAGCCATGCCGAACATGGCTTTGACTGCCACCCCAAGTCCTGGAGGCCCCCACCAGGGGGGGTCAGGCCTCAAAATGATGTAACTAGTGGGTCAGGCCTCAAAATGATGTAATTGCTCTTCAAAATTTGGACGAATGCATCATCCCAGTGGCAGCTATTCACACATTTGGCACCTATGAAAGATCCTTACCCAGAGAGGCCACAGTCTCATAGTTCTCCAGCATGACTTCCCGGTAGAGAGCTCTTTGGTCCGGGTCCAGGAGCGCCCACTCTGCCTCGGTGAAATACACGGCCACCTCCTCAAAGGAAAAGGGACCCTGGAAGAAGAAGCAGGTTGCCTCGTCAGAGATCATGCCAGGCAGAACGGGAAGGGAGCCTTCCAGGAGGGCGCAGGATGCAGAGGCTGGCATGGGCAAAGGAAAAGGGCACTCAGAGCGTCTTTCCCCTCAAACAGCTGAGCAGCAACTGCAGGAGCGAGAAAGCCCTCCTGAGAAAGGAAGGGGGGGACCTGCACTCATCTCTCCTACCTGGAGTGGAGATTCAACAGCCGTTTCCACATCTCTGCAAAATCGATGGCTGGACACCGATTCTTCAGTGCCTGAGAGGGAGACAAAGGAGGGAGGGAGGGAGGGTGTCAGCCTAGACTCCCTCGTTTGGATCCTGCACCCCCCTCATGCGCCCCCCCCCAAAGGTTGTGAAACCTGGCCCTATATACTGTAACAAAACAAAAACCTTGTAATGACTTTTAGTAAATGGCGGAAGGGGAGGAAGAGAAGCACAAGGTGCCCATGAGCATCCGTTAGGGGGCAGTGTTCCCTCTAAGCTGAGTTAGTGTGAGCTAGCTCACAGTTTTTTAGCCTCCAGCTCGCACATTTTTGTCTTTAGCTCAGGAAGGATGGCTGCAATCAAACTAATTTATGCAGTAGCCAAATCGCTCGCTCACAACTTTAATGCCAGTAGCTCACAAAGTAGCATTTTTGCTCACAAGACTCCACAGCTTAGAGGGAGCATTGGTTGGGGGGAGGTTATAAATTCTGGTGACATGTTCTAGACTCCTTGAAATATGTCCTGTGACGTTAGGAACTCAAACACGTGACGGCATTCCTATCAGACTAATGCCCAGACGGGCCATTCTTCTGCAGGCTGGGCTCTCCCACACACCCTCGAGTCCTGTCTGGCGTGGGAAAACAAGGGGGGTGGGAAATGATGCTGCATGACACATCGCTGGCACATCTGTCCAAAATCCCAGAAGTGAGTTTGGCGTATCTGAAATAATCCAAGGGGTGTGACAGCAGCCATGAAATTAAAAGACGCCTGCTCCTTGGGAGGATAGCGATGGCGAACCCAAACAGCATGATAAAAAGTAGAGACATCACCCTGCCAACAAAAGTCCGCATGGTCAAAGCAATGGTATTCCCAGTAGTCATGTATGGCTGCGAGAGTTGGACTATAAGGAAGGCCGAGCACTGAAGAATAGATTCTTTTGAACTATGGTGCTGGAGAAGACTCTTGAGAGTCCCCTGCACTGCAAGGAGATCGAATCAGTCAATCCTAAAAGAAATCAACCCTGACTGTTCCCTGGAAGGCCAGATAATGAAACTGAAGCTCAAATACTTTGGCCACCCAATGAGAAGGGAGCACTCACTGGAGAAGACCCTGATGCTGGGAAAGATTGAAGGTCGAAGAAGACGGGGACGGCAAAGGGTGAGATGGTTAGACAGTGTCATCGATGCAACGAACATGAAATTGAGCCAACTTCAGAGGACAACGGAAGACAGGAGGGCCTGGCGTGATCTGGGCCATGGGGTCGCG